AATGGGGTGATGGGATGGGGGTGGTACAAGATATGGCCCATGGGACAGGGAATTGGGAGAGGGGTTTGCAGGACGAGGGGGCAGGCTACAGCTATGGCATGGGGCAAGAGACTGGGCAGGGACAGGGTGGGACTATGCCACACTGTGTGTCACTGGGATGGGACCAAAGCCCGCAGCAGAGCACCAGGCACAGTAGAGTGGGACCACAACACCCAGTGGGAAGGGACTGTACCCCATGGAAAGGCACAGGAAGGCCCTGACGAGTTCTGGGGTAGGAATGGGCTGTCCAGGTGCTGCCAGAGTGGGAAGGGCAGGGGTACCATAGTAAACAAGGGAATGTCCCACAGAAGGCAGGGCAGAGGTCCTACAGTGGACAGGGGAGGGTCCCACAGGAGAGCCCCATGGAGAGGCAGAGTGGTGCTGGGGGGATAAGCACTGTCCCCAGCCCACACCTCCCCCACCAGCCCCCTCACCTTGAGCTTCCTCCGGGCATTGAACTTTTTCAAGCACTCCACTGTCTCCTGCCTGTGCATCATGGAGGCCACGGTAGAACGTTGCTGCAGGGGACAGTGGGGTCAGCACTAGGTGCCAGTGGTCACTGGACAGGGGTGACACGCACTGGGGGGGATACACCGCACTTACGCAGACCCACGGGTGCTTGAGGGCCTCATGGGCTGTGATGCGCTTGGCAGGGTTGATGGTCAGCATCTGATTGATGAGGTTTTTTGCTTCGGGGGTGACTGTGTCCCACTCAGGTGAAGGGAACTGGGGGAGCACAGGGACATGGGGGTGACAGCTGTGGAGGGGCAGTGCCATGGTATCTGTATCACTCAACTCCTACATATCCCCAGCCAGCCACCAAAGACATGGCCCAGAGCCACCCCCAGGCTCTGCTTGCCAAAGGTTAGGTGTGGCATCCCTCAGTAGGTTCCAGAGTCAATGGGCCAGCCGTCGCAGGGCACCGGAGACTTACATCATAGGCCCCGGCCTTGATTTGCTGGTAGAGTTTGTGCTGGTCCTCATCCCAGAACGGCGGGTAGCCCACCAGCAGGATGTACAGGATGACCCCTGAGCCAGGGAGAGTGGGGTTAGGGGAGTGCAGGTACCCCAAACCACCCCTGGCTCCCTCCGGCCCTGCAGTGTCCCCATGACAAAGCAGTTATTCCAAACATGGCCTGTCCTCTATGCTGCCAGCATGAACAGGGAACAGTGTGGCACTGCCAGGACATGTGGCACAGGATGGCCCCAGGATGGGGTCAGAGCTGGAACTGGAACTGGGAGCAGCATAGAAATGGGATGGCAAAGAGGGTGAAACTAGGATGGGCATGGGAGAATACTAGAATGGAGCCTGGAAAGTGACAGAATGGGAGTGGGATGGGATCGGAATAGGACCAGGCAGTGATGGGGTGGGGATTAGGATGGGATTGGGCAGGGATTAGGGCAGGTGTGGGGCAGGGATGGGGGCATGGTTCAGGATTGGGACTGGGTCCAGGTCTGGGAGGGGGGCAGAGAAGGGGCAGGGACCAGGCAGGGACTAGGCAGGGATTGGCTCTTACCACATGCCCAGATGTCCACCGGTTTGCCATAGGCCTCCTTGCGCAGGACCTCAGGGGACAGGTAGCCAGGTGTGCCGGCAAATCCTGGCAGGGACAGAGAGATGGGTGAGGACAGACAGGTGAGCCACAATGGGAAGGGACAAGGACAGGGCACAGGACTGGGACATAGGCATGGGGCAGGATGTGCTGGGCAGGGGTGGACATGGTGGGCACAGAGCAGATGCAGTAGGAATAGAGCAGGGATTCAGTGGACGTGGAGGGATACAGCAGACGGCGCAGGGACATGGTGAGCAAGACACAGTGGGCAGGGGCTGGGGCTATGGTGGGCAGGGGTGTGGCAGCACTCACCAAACCAGGCCTGCTGATCCCCCTGCACCTCGATGGCAAGGCCAAAGTCCGCCAGCTTCACTGCTGCCCCTTTGCACTTGCTGGCCAGAAGCAGGTTCTCCGGCTATGTGGTCACCGGGCACAGGGAGCACCAGGCATGGACAGCACCGGGCACAGACATGGGTGGGTGAGAGAGGAGGGATGGGGCAATTAGAGGGACTTTACTGCTGCCATTCACCAGGTCCTGCCCATCAGCTGGCTCTCTGCTGTGGGGCTGTGACTGTGGGTGCCCTCTGCCAACGGCTGAGGGTGCCGGATGGCACAGCCCCATGGCTGGCTCAGGGATATCTCATGTCTCGTTGGCTTCATCCCAGCATTCCCCCCTATCCCAGCATCCCCCTGTGTCCTGCCCTGACACTTCAGGCAAGCTCCAGCTGCTCCCCCCCCATGTCCCCATCCCCACCAGTTCACACTCCTCCTGGGGCAATGGTAACTGGGGGGTTGCAGTGAGAACCCCCAGCAGCGCAGAACAGTGCCACAACTGGGGGACACATGTGCATCCCCAGAAAAGGTAGATGGGAGTGCTCAGAGCTGAGGGGATCCCCCAAGCCCAGCAAGATCTCAGTGATTCCCCAGAATCTACCCGGCCAGGGCCACACCCAGGTTGTGGGGACCCCAAGAACTGGGCAGGGGGAGAGGGGCAGAGGAACAAATGGGGGTTGGGAGGACACACTTACCTTGAGGTCTCTGTGGACCACCCCCATCTGGTGACAGTGCAGGACAGCCTCCAGGATCTGCTGGATGCAGTGGCTGCATGCAAATGGAGGGGGGGTCAGAGGTACACTGCTACCCCACCTCCCACAACCCCTGTCCACAACCTGCACCTCCAAACCAGCCCTGCTGTGCCTCACTGCACCCAGGGGGGAACTGACAAAAACAAGTGGTGACCTTGGATTTGTGGGTGCTGTGCATGGCAACCCCTCTGTATCCCAAGGGGGTCAGCCTTGGGGCATCACCCCTGGGGGACTCCTGGGGGATCACTACCACCTGGGGGGTCACCCGGAGAGGTTACCCTTGGGGAGAATCCCACCTGGAGTGGGTCATTGCCTAGGGGACACTAGCCTGAGGGGGGGTCATCCCTGAGGGTGTCATTCCTTCCTGGGGGGCATCACCCCTGGGGGCATATCACTGTCTGGGGGGTCATCCCTTGGGCGTCACCCCTGGTTTGTCATCCCAGGGTTTTCACTCCAAGAGGATTACTGACTAGGGGTCACACCTGTGGGATCATCCCTTGGGGGATCACGACCTGGAGGTCATGCTGGGGGGGACGGTCACTGGCTGGTGGTTCATCCCTGAGGGGGTCACTGCCTGGGGGTCACCCCTCAGCACCTACCAGGTGACCTCCAACCTTGGCACAGAGCCATGAGGGTCACCCCAATGGTGCTTTTGTCCCCATGGGAGTCCCAATCCCTGCTGCCACCCAGACAGGTCCCCCAGACAGGACTCAAGGGGGAAGTGGGGGAACAGAGGGTGGGGGGCGTGGGGGGGCGCAGATGGAGACAAGACAAGAAAGAA